TCATTTTTAGGTTCGCCGTTTTCATAACTTATAAATTTATCGATTTTTTTGCAAATGAACGAACCCCTACATCCTAAGCCTCTCGGTACACATAGGATAACGGGGGGGGAATAAAATAACGGGGGGGCACTCATTATTATGAAATTTGCAATTACTTTGGGATTTTGCGAGTGCCATTCGATAGAGCGTCGAAAAATATACTAAGAGAATTAATTTCAGCCCAAAATAATGTAAAAGAAATTTTTTATTGAATAAACAAAAATTGAGGAAAATCTATGGGCAGCACATAGGATAACAGGGGGGGAAAGTCAAATTTTCGACATTTTCGACATTTTCGGTATTTTGAAAACGTCATTCGATAAAGCGTCGAAAACTGCCCTAGGAAAATTAATTTCAGCCCGAAATAATGTAAATGAAATTTTTTATCGAATAAACAAAAATTTATCAAAATCCATGGGCAGCACATAGGATAACGGGGGGGGAAAACCAAATTTTTGAGATTTTCGATCTTTTGAAAACGCGAATCGATAGAACATCAAAAAATATACTAAGAGATTTTTTTACAACGCGAAAAAATGTATTATAAAAGTTTTATAGCCTAAAAACTATTTTTGAAAACTATGGGCAGCACATAGGATAACAGGGGGGGAAAAAATTTTTCGGCGTTTTGAATATTTTCGATATTTTGAAAATGCCATTCGATAGAGGACCGAAAAATATACTAAGAGTTTTTTTTACAGCCCGAAAAAAGCATATTTAAAAATACTTTTATCATATAAAAAGTTTGAGTGCCCCCCCGTTATTTTTTCCCCCCCCCCATTATCCTATGTGTACCAGCCTCTCGGCCATGCCTTTTCAAGGAACCTGCAAGACATAACTTTGGATTTGCTATGCGTTCGGCCGCGCCGCAACACCCCACGCTCGAATAGCGGCTATACGGGGGGTAATCGATTATGCAATGGACGGCATTCCTCGCGCGTTGCGTATCGCGGAAAGCTAACTTTATTTTAAGATTCCAAAGGAGAACAATAGTTCGAAAATCCATAGCCATAACTTGCCAGTCCCTTTAAAATAGGGCCGCTCAACTATTAAAACTTTTTTTTTGCACCACCGTATGATATGACCGCCGAACACAGTTACACTAGATCAACAGCCTTTGGACTGCTTGGTCAGTTCGGGATCTAGTTACCTCTAGGGCCAAGGGACAAAGTGTCGAAGACCGGCCTAGTCATCTCCCCTCCGAACATGAGGAGCCGACCAGAAATCGTTGTCTGGTTGGGGGCCCGAGACGGCCAGTAAAAGAGGGCATGGGCCAACGGTCTCAAAACGTTTGGCTGGCCATCAACCGCTTTTTGATCCGGGTCACAACAGAGCTCACTGGGGGGCATACCTCTCATATTTTGGCGAGGTTTTTAGGCAAGCCTTAACGCTCGTTAGACTGTTAGACCTTACATATCAGAAGCTCAAAAGAAAGATAGAATGCTTAAAAACCTAGCAACGTTATTCTTAACCTAAAAAAATCGATGGAAAGTGGCAAAAACAATAATTTTTAGCAAAACGTCGCTTCCTCTCGACTTCTAAAGCCTTATTTTGACTTAAAAATCGAGTATTTCGGCCCACTTACCGACAAAATAATAAAAATCATCATCAGCGCAATGATATAGTCGAAAACAAGAGTGATGTTGAAGTGACGGTATTTGAAGATCAAGCAATCACGGAGAAAACTAAAAATAAACTAATTTTTTATTATGAATAACTTTATTACTTTTTATAGCATTGCCCAGAGTCCTGGCTTTTCCATATGACCTGCTGGACGATGCTGACCAAAATCAGACCGGCCAGAAAAACCTGAAACCGGAAATTTTTCGCTTTTTGAAGGTTGGTCTACCTCAATAAAGCCTAATGTAACGGTGCCCAGCTTTACATGACAACAGTCGCAGCATGTTCGGTATCTAAAGACGGGGTTTACGATTTTTTTAAAGAAAAATTAAGCAATTTTTTACAACAGAGACAGTAATTTCTATAAACCCATACCTATCTGGCGGTGTCCCTTCGCGCGCGGTCCGCCGCGCTTCCACGCGCAACATCACCGGAACCTTTGGCATTTTTGCTGGGGCATGAGGTAGTTGGGAATCGGGAAGAAGAAAAGTCCCGGAAAAGTGTTGCGGTCAATGCGATGGGTTTGCGGTTTTAGCTGAAAGACTTTCAATTGAATTGGATTGATTCACTTTCAAAATAAACGAAAATCATAAATCATAAATTAAAGCAAAAATTTTATTGAGTCCGGACATTATCATATACCACTATTTTTTAGCACGATTGCTTATAATCCCGAGAAAAGGACAGAGAATTTTTAAACCTCGGTTATTAATACAAAAAAATTAAAAATCGTTGGTTTTCGCCGGTTTTTTAATATGCCAAGGGATATATCTGGAGAAAATGTGATGAAGCGAATCAGATATATAAAAATATATTGGAGCAAGCTTCTAGAAATCGCCATGTAATCTAGCAGATCAGGCCGATCAGGCCAAAAAGCATGGGTGGCTGAAACATAATTCCAAAAATTGACCCCCGTTCTCAAGAATAGGCTAAAATAGCCTCTTTTAGATCGCTGCAAATCCTCCAGTGAGCACATCTACCCCAAACAAGTGGCCAACTTGCAAAAAAACGACGGAGATCCATGTATCAGGCGGTACGATTACACAACAATAGCACCACCCGGTGGCACGGCGGACAAAAATTGGCCTGGTTCGTGTAAAAGCGAGCAGCAGCCAAGGATAAAGAAGACCGAGAGATGGTTATTTATTTGGGCTAGTAGAGAGTGGGTATGTGAGGCCGTGGATATGTGGGTTCTAGGTGGAGAACATGTGACGGGAAGGGGGGTGGTGGAAGGAGGGAGCGAATGGACCCACACTGGCAAGTCAACCAGGGGATCCATGAACTTTGGCGGCTGCTTGGGGGTCTCATCCCTTCCCCTTGGGCCCTTTCGAAGTGGTTTTAACTGGGCCATGTCTACCTGCAGTTTTGGAAGTTCCGAGAGGGGGTCCAGGGAGGGGTCAGGAGGAGGAGCAGGAGAAGGACATCCGCTTGCTGCCGTTGCAAATGTTGACTCGGCAGTTATGACGGTGATGCTTAGGTTAAAAATAAGTTGACGTCAAAACAAGAGCTTTTTAGAGGGTGCAAAATTTACCAAACAATGCTATCATCACAAAAACTTGAATTTAGTGTCGAAAATATGAAATTTAAAAAAATTTGATTTCTCGGCAGTTATCTCCTGTCCGTTACGCACCTAAAGACGTAGCACACGTTCCGTAAAGCTCGTTCCCTGACCCGCTATGAGCCGGAGAATGAGCGTAAAATTGCCCCGGCTGCCCTGCAAAAGTTTCGAAAGAAACATCCAATTTTGGCCGCTCGCTGCAGAGCGCCCGGAAATTTTTGCAAAATTCGAGATTACGAGGCTTCAGGAGCTTTATTAAAACCGCGGTAATTTTCTGAAAGGCAGCGCTGTAGTACGTGAATAGCCCTACTGACGCACAACGAGGAGCCTAGAGGTAGCTTACCAAGGGTGTGTGGGTGGGGTAAATGCCCGTTTGGTTAAGCCCCCGCAATTGGGGTGGCCTTATTCATTTAGTCTGAGGGTGCTTCTGACGGCATTTGCTGCGTCTGGCAGCTACGCTGATGCACCGGAAATCGGAATTTAACGGAGTTTTTGGGATTTTTTTGGGACTGGAGAGCGTTAGAATCGTCATCTAGATGTCGACTGCTATGCGCCTTATAAGAGACATTATTAAGAACTCCAATACCTAAATTTTTGTAAAAGTAGCTGTCGATACCCAGTGGACGGAAGGGGTTGATTCTTGCGTTACCCGTGCCTTTAAACCCAGATTAAAACTGATTTGGATTTTGTGGAAATCCGAAGAAATCCGGATAGTACAACCCCAGTCAGGTGCAGATTTCGTGTCAATGGTAGCAGCACCGATAAATCATTCACAAAGTTTGGGGCGGGTGAAGGCTAAACATCCCTCACGGCGACAAGAGCCACAAAACACTTGTTCGCCATTAATCGGCCGACAAGTGGGAAGGCTAAAAAAAATCGGGTGGATTTTGAGAAAATATTTTGATAAGAGGTGTTCAATGAACTTGAGTAAAATGTTGGCTCATTGCCAAATTTCTGATCAAGCCGCTTGGCATTTTTTGTGGTTCTTTGAAAAGCGACGAAGTGGTGAATCGTGGCGACCTGCCGAAACATTCTTTTTTTTCTCTTGAAAACTGAGGAATTGTACCCTCCGTAAACGATACCCCCCTTCAGATTTACACAAGTTTCCCACACAGTTTCACATTTTAAGAATTTTAGTGTTATTTTTATGGCAATGCGATCAAAATCCGGGTTTCCTGTCACAGCCTATTTAAAGAAAACGACAAATAATATAAGTTTGCTAATATAAAAACCACTATGCGCAATATAGTTATATCCCAACATGTGAAATATCCTAATTAGAAAATTTCATAGTAATAGCCCTGAAAATTCTTAATCTTAGTGAATCAATGTGCAAAAAATAGTTTTGCCTTCACAGCACCCTTAAGCAGGAGCAAAAGGTAAATAGTGACAAATAGCTGTAGAAGCGGCAAAAACGAGTACCTTTTTGATACTGATATGACCTTTTTTATATTAGAAGATGGCATTATGTTGCCGGATCTGTCACCAAGTAACCATTTTGCTTTCACGCTACCCTAACGACGTAAGAAATTACAAATAGTCATCAATTTTGTGGAAACAAAAAGAAAAAAGAAAATAAACTTAAGAATGACAAATCCCCGCCCGATCTCGAGCGATCGACCGAACAGAATAAGCGAGAAGCCTCCGTCCGCTGGCTGTCAGCCACACACCCGCCAGTCTGATCAACATTTGGTCTATCCCCGCCATAGCCAGGAGCTATTTTTAGGTGTCCATCCCCCTTCAGACCCTCTATCCAGCCACCGCCTCACCACCAGCTGCTACGTGTGTTGCGTCAGAGGGGGCTGTGGCTGTTCAACTGCTTGATTTCCACAATGCCCCCCGATCCCATTTATTGCCGCGGATAAATTCGGGCCAACTGCACCGGGGAGGCTATTTTTGGACCTTTTGATCTGACACTTTGCAGAGAATGATTGGTGTTGATGGGATTAGGGTGGACTTGGGAGGAGCACGAGGTGAGAAGTTGTTGCTAATGGGTTTAAGGGAGCATGAGATCAAGCGTGCAGATTAAGAGAGCACAAAAGGTGAATTCGGAGCAAATTTTATGAGCCGATAATGGAAAGGTAGCTTTGATAATCAGCGCCCTGATTCACATAAACTCCGTAATAATCGATTATGCTAAAAATAACTAGCTAGCCTTACTTTTTGCCAGCGAATCCCAACTTGTGAATTTTTTTAAACTTGTATATATTGGAAATCAACCGAATTAAGATCGTATAAGCTGTATAGGATTTGAATAAAAAATGCGGAAGCTTCAAAGGCCACATGAAGCGAAAGAAAATTAATGAGACCCGCGCCCCGAGAAATTGAAATTTTGTGAATTTATGGTGGGGAATTCGGCACGCTTCTCTGTGGAATAAAATGACGTTTGAGCCTTAAAAAACGATATATCTACGAGGAGCGGCAAAATCGGGGTATCTGTATAAGAAAATCAGCGAATTTCTTAGTCGTACGAAAATACAGTCAGTTTTTGGCTAGACACCCTTACAATTTTGGTTTTCTAATCTTCTTCGATTCCAGACCAGACAATTGGAACAAATTTCACTTTGTTAGTCACAAAATCACCCAAAATGAGTCAAGCGGAATTTAAACGAGAACAACAGTTGTGAGCTTGGGCCACGGGGATGAGGGACACTGGCCGCCTCATCGCCCTCCCCAGGGTTCACAGCGAGTTCACAGCCCTATACGACACACTGGGAGGATGTAACATGGCGGATAAACAAGGGGAGGGGACAAGCACCTTTCTCTTCCGCCCAACATTCTAGCCAGGTGGGGGAACAAAGTATGGCCATTGGCATGATAATTGTAATGGAATAATGGTAATCCTACTATATATAAAAAAATAGTGTGTGTGTGATACTTTGCATGTAACTTCCGTCACCATGTCCGGAGGATATCTCGATAGGGTACGCATTTTAAGGTATACCAGTCAAAAAAAGCCGCTTCGCGGCTTTTTTTGCCTGGCCCTCCCGGGGGGCAAGGCAATACAGGGTGCTTCCCATTCTCTTTAGTATATTCCCGCTTGGCGCGGAGACCTTCCGTGATCTACCTATGCACCTCCTCCAAAACCAAAGAACCTTCCACTCCTCCTATTCCCCCTGAAAGAAACCCCCCAACACCCGTAGCTGATCCTAAACAAAAAGAGAAGGAAAGTCTAATGGTTAACGCACCCCCCAGAAGGAAAGCTATCACCTTCTTTAGGAATAAAAAAACATAGAAGACCCTTGAAACAAAGTTGTACCCTTCTTAGCTACTAAAAAAACATCTAAGAAACGCGTAATGGCTAGAATACCCATGAAAGAAAGTTCATTCCCTTCTTAGCTACTAAAAAAACATCTAAGAAACGCGTAATGGCTAGAATACCCATGAAAGAAAGTTCATTCCCTTCTTAGCTACTAAAAAAACATCTAAGAAACGCGTAATGGCTAGAATACCCATGAAAGAAAGTTCATTCCCTTCTTAGCTACTAAAAAAAACATCTAAGAAACGCGTAATGGCTAGAATACCCTTGAAAGAAAGTTATTTCCCCTTCTTAGCTACTAAAAAAACATCTAAGAAACGCGTAATGGCTAGAATACCCTTGAAAGAAAGTTATTTCCCCTGCTTAGCTACTAAAAAACATCTAAGAAACGCGTAATGGCTAGAATACCCTTGAAAGAAAGTTATTTCCCTTCTTAGCTACTAAAAAAACATCTAAGAAACGCGTAATGGCTAGAATACCCTTGAAAGAAAGTTATCTCCCTTCTTAGCTACTAAAAAACATCTAAGAAACGCGTAATGGCTAGAATACCCTTGAAAGAAAGTTATTTCCCCTGCTTAGCTACTAAAAAAACATCTAAGAAACGCGTAATGGCTAGAATACCCTTGAAA